CAAATAGGAGGCATTTATTTAAGGGAATAGATAGGAAGTTATCCTTTTTTTATTTTTAATTTTTGAGACAAGGTCTTTCTCTGTAACTCAGGTTGGAGCACAGTGGTATGACCACAGCTCATGCAGCCTCCACCTCTTGGGCTAAAGCCATCTTCCCACCTCAGCCTCCAGAGTAGCTGGGACCACAGGTTCAAACAACCACTAATTTGTGTGTGTGTGGGGGTGTGGGTTTGTTGTTGTGGTTGTTGTTGTTTTTGCAAAGTCGAGGTCTCACTTTGTTGCTAAGGCTGTCTTGAACTCCTAGAGTTCAATCAATCCTCATGTCTCAGCCTCCCAAAATGCTGGAATTGCAGGCATGAGCCCCTGTGTCTGGCTAGAAGTTATCAGTATTAAAGAGGCCACCCAGGAGTACAATACTTAATTTAAACACTTAGATTGAGCTCCGAGTTTCCTGGAAACCAAGCTGTAAATGAAAACACTGCATTTGGGAGGCTGAGATGGGCGGATCACTAGGTCAGGAGATCGAGACCATCCTGGCTAACATGGTGAAACCCCTTCTCTACTAAAAATACAAAAAAAATTAGCCGGGTGTGGTGGTGGGCATCTGTAGTCCCAGCTACTCGGGAGGCTGAGGCAGAAGAATGGCGTGAACTCAGGAGGCGGAGCTTGCAGTGAGTCGAGATTGCACCTCTGCACTCCAGCCTGGGCAACAGAGCAAGACTCCGTCTCAAAATTTAGCTACTAAACGAAAACATTTGCAGTTTGTCACAAAATCTTGATCCAAATGTTAAACTGAAATGAAATTATCAGCTATATTATAATGTGCAGTGTCTTTGATAGCACCTTTATAAAAGGTATGGGGCAATTCTTCATAGGTATAATGAATTGGTTCTAATTCAGCATTGTTTGGGCACCCAAAGAACTGGGGTCCAGGTATGTACATTTGTGGTAATGATGATTCAGAGATAGAGTTTCAAGTCTTTAAAGCAGTCATTTTCAAATATTAATGTACAAATAATTTAACTGGGAAGATTTTTTCATGCAGATTCACTGCCCTTTCTCAACCCCCATCCCCAATTCTGATTTGGTATGTCTGAAATAAAGCCTAAGTATCTCTGACTCTGTTGCAAGAGACTAGTGGAGCACATTTTGAGAAACACCAATCTAGAAGAACAAATTGTTTCTATGTCTCTTACCATTGACCAGCCCCTTTGAATATAAATTTTCCCCACCTTGTTTTTAATAAGCAGCCAACAGCCTGAGATTAATGTTTCAGCGGAGATACAGGAAGTGCAAAGGCTCTGGGTTGTTGATTAAAAAACATTTTCCGTGCTTTATATACCAGGCATATAGGGAGCAAAGGTAGTGTTTGCTTAATAAACTCAAACCCTTGAGGAGCAATGGGGGAGGGTATGAACACAACCAGGAAGAGGTAGAAGGAAGGCCAGGCTGGGAACTCCAAAGCTAATCTTTTCTGCTTTGCCATTTTCCAAAGACCAGCCCTGTTTGGCTTCTACTGTACACATGGGCATTTGTGCCCAGCCCTGCTATTTTTGCCCATTGTTCATGGGAAATCCTTGTTGGAAGTTATTCTGAATCAGAGAGGTGGGGTTAAAGTGGTGATCCATAGCGGTGTGTGGATTCCTAAGGATTCATGAGTGAATTTTCAGGGACCCTGGGACCCCTGAAGTTATACACAGATATTTTGTGTGTATAGGCAGAAGTGTATTTTTGTGTGAAAAGAGGTTCCAATTAAGACTTTCATCAGATTTTCAAAAGGGTCATAAATGTTCCCAAAGGGTTGACAATCACTGGGCAGTCCTAGTTCAGCTCAGGGTGCATCAAGCTCCATGTTCTGGTCTGTGTGTTCCCAGAACATTCTAGCCTCAGGTCAGTTCATTGACAATCTCCTTCGTGGCAGCTGGGTCACTAAGTATCTCTTCCTCCCCAGCAGCCAGCCTCCCTGCCTAATCTGAGGATTATGCTAGCAAAGCTGTCAGGCTTAATTTCAGCAAATTGTTTTGGGTAATTAGTCCCTTTTAATTGCTCATGGAAATAGTAATTTTAGGTGACAAGATTATTATATGCTGCTCGTTAGTGGATTCTCAAGGGTCAAGAAAACACCACTGAGATTGCTATAACCTGTTCTTTTCTATCTTTGGCATTCCCCTTGAAATCCAGAAAAGACATTTAGTAAAGTCGGTTCCCACTCTGTAAAAAGTATAGAGCACTGGTTTCCTTTTATCCTTCTGCCAAAGTGAAGGATTAGAGCAGGACTTTCAACTTTTCTGTGTGACTGCCAGCCCATGTTAGGCTTCACAGGTTTGCTGATCATTAACTTGAAAAGCTGTGGGAAGTTTCTAGCTCTTCCATTTGCTTGTTTACCTGTACAGCCAAGTTGCTTTACAACTGACTGAGTTTTGAATAAATAGGGTCCTAGGTGATGAAATATTTGACGCAGCTCAAGTTGAATATTTTCATTGCTTTTCACGTCACTGAACAAGAGGGTCAGTCTGACCAATGGGTCAGTCTAACCGATAGGGCAGGATTGCCTACTGGTTCACCATGTGCTAGCTCAGGGGAGGAATGGATGGAAGGTAGAGAACTCTTCTCATCAGTTTAGGAAGCTAGGAGTTGATTGGCTCTGACTAGCTGTGTAATACTGGGTCATTTGGTTGATTTTTCTAAGCCCTCATTTAATAATCTGTCAAAAGGGAACAAAAATAATACCTAGCTCAAGGAACAGCTGTAAAGGATTAAGTGATATCATAAATGCTTGGCATGTAGCAATAACATATCAAACAAAAAAGATATACATGGATTGGAGAAATGTGGAGAAACACATGGAGAAAATATTTCTAAACTGATACATCTGATAAAAGGCGATATAAAGAATATGCAAGGAACTCAATAGCAAGAAAACAAATTGAGAAATGGGCAAAGGATCTGAATAGTTTCTAAAAGAAGACATACAAAAGGCCAACAGATATATTAAAAAAGAAACAAAAAAAACAAAAAACCGCTCAACCTCACTAGTCATCAGGGAAATGCAAATTGAAACCATGGTGAAGTGTCACTTCACACCTGCTAGAATGGCCATAATCAAAAAAGACGAAAGATTAAAAGTGTTGGCAGGATGTGGAGAAAAGAGAACCCTTGAATACTGTTGATGGGAATGTAAATTAGTACATCAATTATGAAAAACAGTGTGATGGTTCTTCAAAAAACTAAGAATTCCCATATGAGCTAGCAATCCCACCTCTGAGTACATAGCTGAAGGAACTGGTATCAGTGTGCTGTAAAGAGACACCTGCTCTCCCATGTTTGTTGCAGCATTATTCGCAATAGCCAAGATACGGAATCAACCAAGTGTCCGTCAACAGATGAACAGATTTTTAAAATGTGGTATATATACATGATGGAATACTATTTCGCCTTTAAAAAGAAGGAAACTCCGTCATTTGCAACAACATGGATGAATTTGGAGGTCATTTTGTTAAGTGAAATAAGCCAGGCACAGATAGACAAATACTATATGATTTTACTTAGATGTGGAATCTAGAAAAATCAAATTCATAGAAATAGAGAGTAGAATGGTAGTTACCGGAGTATAGGGGGATGGGGAATGGGGAGAAACTGGTCAAAGGGTGCAAAATTTCAGTTACAAGGAGGATTAAGCTTGAGAGCTCTATTGCATAGCATAGTGATGAGAGTTCGTAATAATGTATATTGAAAAATCTCTAAGAGAGTAGATTTTAATTGTTTTCACCACAAAAATGCAAGTATAAGAGATGATAGATATGTGAATTAGGTTAATTTAACCATTTCACAATGTACACATATATCGAATCATCACATTGTACCTCATAATTATATACAATTACTATTTGTCATTTAAAAATAAAGATAGCATGTACTATTATAATTACAGTATACTACTTCTTCCCAAATCTAGATCTTATAAAGAAGTCTGAAGTAGCAGAGAGGTCAAAGAAATAAACATTACACTCATGCCCAACTCTTTCCATGACTTCCAAGTTTGTTAATATAGACACATCTAATCAAATCACATATGCACCGAAATTCTTTTTAAAATGATGCAGATTCAGATGGAGATTATCACACTGTTAGCAATTCAAAGTGGCTAACACTGATTTCGATGTGAGTAACCACATTCCTTGAAATCAAAGATTTGATGTGAAACTGACAATAAAGAATTCATATGGAACTCAATTTTTCTCGCTGATGAAACCAAAGACATTGCCCTTGTGACAACTTTTCAAAAATGAGAGTTTCAATTTTTAAAAAAGACTTTTGTTCTTTTTTCTCCAGTTTCTTATCATAAGATTTCATTCTCATTCTTTAGAAATCATATGCTAATATATTTGCTCTTTCATGGTGCTGCTTCTTACATTTAAGCATTTCATATCATGTTTTTTCCTCTCAAATTTCATGAGGACCAGTATTCACCTTTATTGGTATTTCCTGAGGTCAGCATTCTATATCTCTTCTGTATTTACTTTTCTCTTCAGCTAGGGCTGCAATGCAGCAGGCAAACTCAACCATTGCACCAAGGAGTAAAATGTCACCTTGGAAATAATGGCTAGTTCTCTAGTTATATCCTCCAGTAAGAAGACCCTCCTCTAAGAACTGGAAATAGGATAGAAAACTGGAGATAGCATGTCTCAGATTGCAAAGCTTTCTCCTTTATCTTGAATATGATGCTTTCCTGAGCCTTAATTGTGGAGTCAATTGTGGAGGAAAAGAGGAAGGAGGAGTGTTTGCAACAATTTCAGTTAACTTATTTAAATAAAGTGTTTGGTGGGATTCCACAAAAATATGAGTTATATTGAAGACCAGAAGTTTCAGTAGGTTGTGTCTACATTACAAAAAAGGAATACACAAAGTACATGTGCTATGGATGCTGGCGTGTTTGACTAATGCTTCTATAGAGAAGATGAACCCATTGATTCTAGCAGTTGTGCTAATTGTTCTTCTAGCTGCTGTGGTCTGTGTGACACTTCTCAACAGACTTGACTGTGATCAGATCAACTTGCCTCATGATGTCCTTGTGGAGTACCAGCAACGGCCTCAGCTCCTAGTCTCCAACTTCATCAGACTGCGGCTTGGACTTTGTGACTAGACGTCCTAACGGGGCAGCCCAACCCTCCCCTGCAAGTTTGTAGCTCAAGTTGTAACATGAAAGTCATATTTTATTTGTGGCATTTTTATATAGTTCTCATCCACATGCTAAAATCATAATGGAAAGACTTTATGAAATCCTTCTCTCTTAAAAAGGAATTTATTGTAAAAGAATTTAATACTCACACTAAATTAAATTCAAATTTCATTTTATAATAAGTTAACTAAATCAGTCTAATAATTAAAATTTTAAAACTCCTGGATTATGACATTTGGAGTTTCATATGCAGCATTAATTAAGCTCACATCAAAATAGACCAGCCATTTGCAGATACAGTTACCAGTCACTCTGTTTCTGAAACCAATCCAGAAATTCATGTTAGAACATTGTCAGGCACTTCTAGGTATTGGACAAGTGACAGAAACTGATTATCCACATTAAAAATATTTACAGAAAAAAGTGTCAATGAAATGTAGGTCTATATGGAAAAGTTATCATTAGGAAAATATGGCCATACTTCTTTTTTACCCCTATACAATTTCAGTGCACCACAGAATAGGATTCAAGATTTACATATGCCTGTTTGTGTTTTGTCTTGGAATATAACAACTCTGGATTACATTTTCCTTTCAACTGAAAACTCTCAGTAATGCAAAGAAAGGCCTTCCTTTTTCTTCAGAATCACAAGTGACTAAATTGCCTTCTAGCCACTTTTTTCTTGTAAAAAATGTGTTTTGAGGAGGCTGTATTTTTTATTCCATTTCAATGTTAACCAAATAGGCTGAGAAATTCATAGCAATTGAATTAAGACTTGAGTTCAAGATGTTAAAGGAATCCTTTTGTGTGACTTGTCCAGATCGGCCTATTGCCCTACCCGTTTGATCCTCTGGGAGGCATGGTGCTCCTCCCGGCTGCACATGCTCTCTGTGAACTGATTGCATCTTGGGTTCTTCTCAATTTGACATACTTGGGAGTTGGAATGACTGGATGGGGGATGGTGGAGGATGACTGGCACACCTGTATAGTATGTAATGTGGTGTACATATATTTATATGGTTGTGGCTCAAATAAAGTTTAATTCCAACACAGTACAGATTATTTGGTTCCTGGAGCCATTGTCACATGTGAGCAAATGGAGGCTTGGAGCAGGAAAGGGGTCCTGGCTGGTTGAGTCTGAACTGGCCTGCTCCCGTGTGGGGAATGGCTTTCTCTTTTAAGCAACAACAATAAACAGGAGGTGTTTATCGTCACCAATAAACAACCCACCAAGAGGTACATTGGTTTGTGAACTTCTTTTTGGCACTAGAGACACTTTAAGTGCTGTATTTAGGTTATCCCAATAATTGACCATGAAATTCAAAGATCAGAGCTAAAAGCAAGCTAGAATAGTATCGCCATCGTTTTCTGATGGGATTTTTACTTTGTTTCATATTTTTTTAGACCATGTAGTGGAAGCCACCTCAGAGAGCCTTCAGTTTGAACTTTTATCTGTCTGCTCCTGGACAATCCTTTTTTTTTTTTTTTTTTTTTTACAGGAAGGAGGAGAGGCTATGAGAGGGAGAAGAATGAAATAATTACAGTTAATCTTCTCAACTCCTGCGAGGTGTATGTGTGCACAGGTGTGCGCATGCGTGCATTTGTGTCTGTGTCTTCCTCATTGGTATTTCCTAGCTCAGTAAACCATATCGCTTGCACAAGCCAGAAACCTGGGAAATCCCTGTGATGATTCTTTCTCCTTAATTCTCACAGCCAGTCGATCACTAAGTCGTATTAATTGATCCTCCTAAATATTTCCCCAATCTGTTCATTTCCTTCCATCTTTTTGGCACCCATTCTAGTCCAGGTCACCATGATCTCCCCTCCAGATCACTGAGGAAGCCTTGCTCATGATCAGCCTGCCTCCATTCTTGAAGTTTGATTGGGTTATTTTCCTGCTTCAAGGCCTTCACATTGGTCTTAGAATGAAGACCAAAGCCCTCTTTGCACAGCTTAGGCATTCCCGACTGGACCCAGCTTGGTAGCCCAGCTCACCTTGCCCACTTCTTCCCCTTGTGTCTGCCCTCCAGGCACATCATCCTTGGTTCTTTAGTCTTACCCAGGGCACAAGTTCACAAAGGCACAGTCCCTTGGGAAGGACTGCCTACAGATCCATCCAATGGGAGTGCTTGGCTGTGGGGACAAGTGGGACTGAAACCCACCCTGTCCAGCTAGCTGTGTGACCTGGACAGGGTGAATCTCAGAACACCCTGAGCCACATCGACTGAGAGGGGCCTTTTCCCGATTTATACAATGGTGTTATATGGGATAATGGGAACTCTCAGTGCCAATGTCCCTTCCCATTTCAGAGCCTTTTGCTGTCTACTCTCCCTGAAGGGCCCTCACTTAACTCATGCTCATGGTTTAAATCTCAATTCACAGATCCCTTCCTTTAGAAAGTCTTTCTAATCTTCAAACCAGATTCCTCCCATGGTCACCCGTAGGCCCCCTCCACAGCCTCCTCGACTGTTTCTTCAAAGTACACAGCTTGAAACTATGTCATGATTGGGGTCATTATTTAACTAATGCCTACTGTCTAGACTATAAGGTTCTGGAGAACAAAGACTGTACGTATTTTATTTGTGTCTATCGCTCCAAGCATCTAAAACAATACAAGACACACACTAGGCACTCAATAAATACTTGTCAAGTGAAGAATGAATCTTTTTCATAGCATTTCCCTTGTAAACTCTCACTATAATTTCACAGTCTTTGCAAGACTCATACTTTCCTTATTCAGTCCTGGTCAGTACAGCTCTCCCTGGCTGTTCCTCCCCTTACATCTCACACGGTGGGGAGGAAAGTCCTCTGTACCATCAGCGTACATCTGTGGCAGTGTCTAGAACCTCTTGTTTCCTCATATGCACATGGCTTTCCCCTCTGTCAAAACCAAGCCCCAAATTCACCTCCTTTGGGGAGATCTCCAAGTTCAATTTTCCCTCAAGTCATCACTTCTTCCCTCCTTCCTTTAGAACTAGATTTGCACTGGGAAGACAGGAATTCGTTCTCATGCAGATGCTGTGTTGAGAACATTTATCCTTTTTTCATGTTCCCGAGGTGTCTTCATTTCCTTTGTACTCTTAACGTGTTTTGTCCTCTACAGGTATCTTCTGACTGCTTACCTATGCATATTCTCGGTCTGGGCACCGGCTTTTTACTTCACCTGCAACACACTTCTCTACTCATTCACTCTTACCCTCTTTGAACACCCTTCAAGAAGCAGATTGGCCTGCAAAAACCCTCTTCTGGTCCTTTCTATGTATGTTTGTGTGCATTTTTTGTATTTTTTTTTCCTTTTTTCATTCATTCATTATAAACATATATTCCTCCTTCTTCCCCAGTAGAATCTGAGACAGCTTATAAGGTTGAATAACAGCACATCAAGATAGTATAAGTTAGAACTAAGTGGGCAAGAAAAGGAAAGGCAAAGGGAAGGGGCATCAACTGGTACAAGTCTGAAGCTTGTGCTCCTGTGCATTCCAGACAGTCTGTGCCTCAGCAGAACTTGGGCCCTGAATTGGCTTGGGGCCAGCTAGCGGTTGCCTCATAAAGAGAACAAATTTACAGCATCTCTAAAATAAAAATGCAAAGTAATGATCAGGAGAAGAACAACTAGTCCTGATTCTAAGAGGCCACAGTGTGCAGAGATGAGTGTGGATCTCAGACTGCCTGGGTGTGGAGTTGGGGGATGACCCCAAGTTGGGGGTCAGTGTGTTCACTCTAGGATACCGCCCTGAGGTTCTCAACACGGGTGCATACTAGGATCACCAGGGAAGCCTTTTGAAAACACTGTGCAGAGGTCCACCTCAGACCAATTCAACAAGAATCTCTGGGAGTGGGACTGGGAAGCTCTATTTTTTTATTTTGCAGCCTAAGTTGAGATTTACCAATTTAGAAGAGTGGACAGTCTGTGACTCTGGCCTGTGCTCTTCCAGCTGAACTTCTAAAACTCTTTAGGCCTTGTCTCCACTGGAATAGTTATATAAAGATCAAGTTCTTTTACTTGACTCACTCCTTGATGCTAGCAACAGTATCTTATTCATTTTATATCCCAGCAACTTGCACAGTGCCTGGCACATAGTGACACTGAAAGGATTTTACACACACACACACACACACACACACACACTTACAATTTATATAACAGGTGATATATTAAAAATTACATATAATTATGACATAATTGTATACTATACATTATATATTAATAAAATAATATATACCTCATTCAATCTTACTATGCATGTATATATGTTTTTGTTTTGTTTTGTTTTGTTGAGATGGAGGCTCACTCTGTCACCCAAGCTGGAGTGCAGTGGCAATCTCGGCTCACTGCAAGCTCCACCTCCCAGGTTCATGCTATTCTCCTGCCTCAGCCTCCTGAGTAGCTGGGACTACAGGTGCCCGCCACGACGCCCGGCTAATTTTTTGTATTTTTGGTAGACATGGGGTTTCACCATGTTAGCCAGGATGGTCTCGGTATCCTGACCTAGTGATTCACCCACCTGGGCTTCCCAAAGTGCTGCGATTACAGGCATGAGCCACCGCACCCGGCCACATGTGTATATAAATATATTCATACATATACACAGGTACACACACATATTTGTTGGTGTGTATAAAATTATATACAAAAACATACAAAAAATTAAACCCCAGTGAAAGATGAAACAAAAATGAACAAAATCACAAAAATAAATAACAAAAAATAGCTGACTACCTCTCAGGGTAATTTTATCCAAATGTTATCACCTGAACAAGTCTTCAGATCGACATGTATATATTAGTCAATATAATTTGCTTTTGTATTCCATTTTCATTCCCAAACATCAGCACAGGAACAGTTAAGTTTAATCATTGCTTAGAAAAACTCAATCTGTAATCCAAAGTACACAAAATAACGTTTTTGACTTATTTTTATCAGCTGTAGAATGTTATCTAGTGGTTTGCATCCTGTAGAGGCTTCATAAGGGATGTAAACTATCAACTTCAGGAATATAACAGTTTGAATTTTATTTATTACTTTTACAAACACAGTTCTTAACATTTGGGATTCATTTTGGAGACCCTTGATAAAAATCTATGTACCCGATCTTCCGGAAAACACACATTCATACATATGCCCCCAAATCTGCATATAATTTCATGGGTTTGTGCACCTTCCTCAGGCCAGGTTGTGGCAGGACACCTGTGTCCTCCACCAAAGGCCACAACTCATGTGGGTGGCTCTTGCCACACTGCTGTCCTCCCCGGGTTCTGGTAATTGCCCCGCTTCACCCCTCTTGGATCAGGGCTGGTAACAGTTGTTTCCAGCTGCATCATCCCTTGTTGCTCCCTAAATCCTGCGCACCCCT